GTGTGCAACAACTATTCACAGGATTCCCGTGCTCCGGTTCCTCATTGAGCATGATAGTTCGAGTGATCGTTCGATAATTGCGAGTCTGGAATGACTCATTCAAAAAAGTCGTATTTACTTTTAATGGCGTTTCCTTGAAACTTTGCATACAATCACGCAATCGCATTTTATAAAGTCACAGCCGGAACATGCGCATTGCTCACTCTTGGTACACCCTCTATATTATTTTTTGTCTCATGGCAGTGAAAGTCATTCATACAGTCACGCGGTATGAGTCAGAACTGCGCGCAGATTTCTTTCAAAAATTCCTAGGATTCCAAAAGATTTATCAAGTTTCAATAAACAAGAAAGAACCAACTTCCTTCTAGCTCGCTCTCACTGGTTAATTATTATAGATGCGACAAAAATCGCTTCAAGAGTCAGATGGTCACGCCAAGGTCTCACGTTGTACAAAAGAGGAAGTTTCAGCAAACGGTAAGTTTATTCATGCTTAATTTCCTTTAAGCCTCGGTATCCATAGAAGTTAAAGTTTTATGTTCATATCAATAAAAAGATTATCATTTGTGATGAAAACCTGGATTGCGGTTATATCGCTCGCAGTTCGCAGCGTATATAGTCACACTGGAGGTTGATATTAGGTTGGTGCACTATGAATGTCGCACACTTTACTTACACCCCATTCGGCTGCGTTTGAACATCAAGAGGCACTCATCAGTAGCAAGGGACATCTAAATGTACAAAAGTGAATACTGTTCGGCCACACATCTCATTTTTTGTTACTTGAATTTGTTTTCGAACCATAATCAACCAAAATTCTCGAATGCTCGTGAATATTCTTCGACGTATTGAGGAGTCGAATTCAGCCCCCACGGCAGAACTTCGCCTACAAAATCTTGCCAAAAAATGTACGCATGGGCAAAAAGTTGACACGATGATTATGCAGTCTCTCCACAGTACAGCCATGCGTCATACCACGAAAATTACTCAGCAATGAAGTGGAGACCGGAGTGCACCTTTTGTGAACACCCAGCCAGGGCATCATTTATGGAGTAAGAAACAGAGATCACAAATGCGTTCATAGGACTTTGCTAGCCCACACCTGCTTCAGTTCTTCGTGGAGGACGGAAAGCCACCCATTCGCGGTCGGGGAATGCTGTTTACTGTCAGCGTAAGGAAATAGAGGCGTGCCACCTAAGCTGCCGCAGTCTTTTTGTCCTAACTGCCTGGCCTGCACTCGACAATCGTGAAATTGAAGTACTTAGTTCGAGAGAATTCCATGTTTGTAAATCACCACTGCGTTGGACAGTCACGAAGAACCTTTGAAAGTAAATGTGGTATCTCAATTCTGCGCACTTACGCAGACTAGCGATATTTCTTGATATA